GTGAAGGAGATCCTCTGGGGGCTCAGAGTGAAGAAGGAAAATCCGTGATTGGAGAGCAGCTGTGACAGAGAGAAGGATGTGTCCTTAAGTGTAAGAAGCCTGGGCATACAGACCTCAGGCCACTTGCCCTGCTGTCCTTCTCCATTACAATGCAGGGTCAGGAGGGCTGGGCCTCTGCCTCCACTCCCGTGGGAGCCTGGCTTCCATCCGTCCAGCGGGCTGACACCGGGCCCAACCACACTGATGCTCACCGGCACTTTTTAAATTCTCATTTCGTGGACTGCTGAACCCCGCTGTCCCCCTCCTGTGTGCACCCTTTAAAACACCCGTCAGCTCTGTGCCAGTCAGAGAGGAGCTGAGGAAAGTGTGTTTATCGCCAACACGTGGGAGCGAGTCTGAGTGTCTCTGAATGCAGTGGGCGGTGCGGGCTTTCCTTCCCCAGCCGCTCACGTGGCGCCCAGTCACGGTCTTCCACAGAAACCTGCTATGTGCTCTGTGTGGAGCACTTTTCCTTCCGGCGGAGGAGGCTTAGGTGGGCTTGTGAGGGCACCAGGCGTCCTGGTCCCTGGCACTGGGTGTGGGGTGGCTTTGGGGAGTTCTTTCCACGGTCCCTCCTCAGTCCTCTCCTCTGTACAGTGGGCATCTAACATGGGTATCAGTAGGTTTGGGGCCGGATTGAGATGATTGAGAGCCTGGGAAGTCCCGCCCAGTGTTGACGCCTGGAAAGCAGCCGCTCTCGGGGTCTTCGCCCGCTTCCCCAGCACAGCGGTGTGGGCAGGGGTGGCTCACACGGCGTTGCCAAGTGCACGACCCTCAGGGACCATCCTGATGTCTCCTCCGCCTCATCCCTGCTGTCCGAGTGTCCGCTTCCTTGTCCAGAACCCTCCCCTGTCAGCGCAGAAGCAGGTGATCTCGCTCCAGAAGCCGCTGCCCAGTCACGACATGGGATCAGAGCTCCTCCACCAGCGCCCACGCTGTGCCTGGGCCGGGCTCAGCTCCTGGGCCGCCCAGAACCATCCCGGCCCAGCCCTGGGTCGTGAGAGCTCACAGGGGGGGTTTCCCCAACTCTGCACGTGCTTCAGGCTCCCAGTGGCCAGCCCTAACCTAGACCGTCTGGGCTCTGCCTGTGTCCTTCCCATGGCACCCCCTGCGGCTTTCTGAGCCTTTCAGCACCTACAGGGCCGCTGTCTCCCTCACACCCACAGCTCCTTCCCCCACCCGTTCTCTCCCTGCCTCTTCCCCGCCCTCCTGGTGGCCTGTTGCCCTGCAAACACTCATTCCTTCTGTGGTTCCGTTGGATGAGACAGGGGTCTCTCCTGAGTGAAGATTCTTGGTGGGTGTGTCTGTGGCCAGGCCTCTGACGTGGAGTGTGACGCCCGTATCTTGTGCTGCAGGTCACTGAAGCGCTCCTTGCCGCCTTGAGGGTAGTCGGCCTGATTATACTTGGCATGGCAGTCGGCATACAAGCTGGCGTGGCAGCAGGCATACCAGTTGGCGTGGCAGCAGGCGCAGCAGTGGGCATACCAGTTGGCATGGCAGCAGGCATCATCGGAACGAGTGCGGTCATCATGGGCATCCACAGGACCCTACAGGACTGAGGCGAGCAACAGAAGTGGTGAGGTAAGGAATCATGCTAGCGGCAGCCAGTTAGTATGGAGACCACTTGCTTGGCTGCCAGGGTTCTTGTTCCAGCGTTAGGAAGGGTTCAGCAATCTGGAGAAGGGCTGTGTGTAACTTAATCCAGAGACGAAGCATAATTTTGAAAGGCATTTGGGGGTCAGAGGAGCCAAGCTAAAGAAACTATGATCTCCTCTCAGGACCCCATGCTTTTTCTTAATACAAATTGTCTGAGGCGAAGTGGAGATAAACACTTCAAAGGGTCGGGTTTCCTATACACAATCCATTCATTGTCAGATCAGAAGAATTAGCCTGTGGCTGTTCAGGTGTTTAGCCAGTAGGAGGCAGTAATATGTAGGTTAAGATGCCCTGAGCTGTCTGGCAGCAAACAATCAGTTGAATGCATCCTTTTCAGGTTTGGGGAAATGCCCTTCAGCCACTCCAGCTTCAGGCCGGCTGTGATGCTGGAATTAGCTTCGGGCACTTAGGCAGGTGGTGGGGTTTACTTTATTGATTTCACTCTGTTTTACACTCATTGGGGCTAATTTTAAAAAATGTGTTTTTCTTGAGTTTTTTTCTTTCTTTTTTTTTTTTTTTAGAAATTGAGGAAGAGCAAGGAATAGAGGGACACAAAAATGGGGAGAGATTCATCAGGGGGCTGCCTCCTGCACGCTTCCTACTGGGGATGAAAGCCTCCGGAATTGAACCCAAGACCCCTTGGATCATGGGATCAACACTCAAGACACCAGGCCAGGCCCATTCAGGGCTGCTTTTTCATGGGAGCTATAAAAGCCCAGGAAGAATTTAATTTGGGCAATTTACGGCTGGGGTGAATGCTATTAAAAGACAACAGTTGGGGCTCTGTCTTTGCACTTGAATGCTTTGTGTCCCCCCTCGCCCCCCCGGTTCACCGTTGCAGCCCCTAACCCCCCAATTGTGAAAGGTGATTTGGAGCTGGGCCTCCTGGGAAGGTCATTAGGGCTCAGAAGGAGGGCCATGAGGTGGTGGCAAAGGGTGCGGGGTGGGCATCATGGGATCCGTGCCCTTACAAGACAGACCAGAGCCCTCTCTCCTCCACGTGAGGACATAGCGAGAAGGTGGCCCTTTGCAAGCCAGGAAGAGGCTCCACCAGGAACTGCATCTGCCAGCACCTTCGCCTTGAACTTGTCAGCTTCCAGGACGGTGAGAAATGAATGTCTGTGCTGCGCCCCCAGCCGGTGGTGTGTGGCCATGGCAGCCGAGCTCAGTGACTGGCTCTTCCCCAGCCGCCTGAGTGCGTCCTGGCCATTCTCTGCTTTTCTCAGGTTTCCTCTTGGAGGGCGAGGACGGGTGAGGGGCAGGAGACACACCTGTGAGGACAAGAGCAGGACCCATTGTCCCGCCAGGGCTGGGGCTCAGCGGCTGGAATTGTGTTGAGGATTCTCGGCCACGAATGTGACGCAGCCCCAGTGGCCGAGGCTCCTTTCCTCCTGCCACTCTCTCCTCCTCTTGGTTCTGGAATAATTAGTATCGTCATCTCCCCAGCGTCGCTGGCCCCCTGACTCCTCACTCCACGGCCTTTCTTTCTGCATCAGCTCAGCAGCCTCTCTCCTCAGTGCCTGCAGCTCCTGGGTTCCCTGTCCAAGTTCCTGAGAGAGAATCTGATTGGCTCAGCTTACCGCATCCTAGCTCAGCCTCCTGATTGGCTGCTGTTGGGTCAGGTGAGCACACTGAGCCAATCAGTTCTGACTGATGGGGCCAGTCACATGGTTTACACCTGACCCTGGAGGCAGAGGCAGTTTCACTTGGAGGGGACTGTGGGTGAGTCAAACTCCATGGTTTGGCACCCCTGGTCCAGGGGCACCCAGGGGAGGGGGGGAGCTGGCACCACCCTTGGGTCCCTCCAGAGCTGCTGGGAGCCTGGGGCTGGTCCCAGGGGAGATTTCCTGCCTAGAATTAGAGCCCGGAGCTCACATCTCCCATAAGACCCGAGTCCCCGGATTCCCTGTCTCCCACGGCTATGGGGGAGCTTTAGACCAAGAAGGGAGAAAGCCTTCTCCTGGCTCACCCGCTGGGTATGGGGCTCACAGAGCAGCTGTGCCCTCTGACCCAGAGGGAGCCTGGGAGCGAGGCCAGCATGGATTCTCCCGGACCCGCACGGAGGCGGACATTCCACCTGGGGATCTGAGCAGGGCCCTGCTGGGCAGCAAGTACAATTCCTTCTCCTTGTTCTTCAACCTTCTGAAGCCCGAGCTTCGTCCCCGCCTGGTGTCTGTGCACCTAGGGGATCGGGGCCCCCACCTTCCTCCTGCCGGGAAGGCACAGCCCAGGGGAGGGGACGCGCCAGGTCTCCAGTCAGAGTGTGAGGGGCTGTGCTGCCACCACAGAGAGCGGCCATTCAGTGGGGCCACTGGTGGCAGAGGCCAGGGGGGAAGAGGAGAGCATGGGACCCGCCCCTTTTGAGACCAGGCCCAGGGCACACTAGGTACTAGCAGAGGGATACACTGAGGAGGTTAATTTTTTAAAAAGACTTAATTTAATTTTTAGAGAAATTTTTGGTTTATAGAGACATTGAGAGGAAGGTACAGAGATTTCCCATATGCCCCACCCCCCACTCACGCAGAGCCTCCCCCATTATCAGCATCCCTGTCCAGAGCGTGTATTTTTGTTATAACAGATGAACCTACATCGACACATCACAACAACCCACAGACCTTAGTTTAGCCCAAGATTCGCTCTGGGTGTGGTGCATTCTATGAATCCGGACACATTATAATGACACATATCCATCCTTACACTGTCACACAGGAGTTTCCCTGCCCTCAAAGTGGAGGTGACTCATTTCAATATTCAACCAGGGGCAGCGTCAACCATAGCAGGACCTGGTCCTCACACTCACACTCCCTATTCCCAGCCTCCTAAGTGTCGTCTGCATTAGGTGGGTTTCGCTTACTATTTGCCATCCATTCTGACAGTTTTCCACTCTGTCAGTGTAGGTGACAGCGTACAGAACCTGGTCAGTTACAAGCAGATTCTTCTGATCATGAGACCGTTTCTGTCCTGAATTCACTTCCTCGTCCACCTCCCACCCATGACTCACTTCAGGGCATCAGTTCCCTATTTTGTGATCCCAGTTTCCTGACAAGGTTCCTGCCTCCTGTCCCTTCACCTCCACAACCAGTCCCCCAGGAACCCCCGTGTCCTTCCCACATGTCCCATCTGTCCATGACCCTCCTCTGGCCTCAGGGCACAGGATGCCCCTGGGCAGCCATAGCCCCTCCTGACCCTTCCCCACCCTCCTGCCCTCCCTGCCCTCGAACCCCGGGCTGACTGAAGGCCTTGCCTTTCCCTCCCCACAGCTCCCTCTGGCCTCTGCTCCTCTGCATGCCCCCTTCTCTCTGCCCCCAGCCCCTGCCACACGCCCCCTCCTCCTCTCCTTCCCCCAGACAGACCCCTCCTCTGAGGAGCTGCCCTGAAGGCCCAGCCTGGCTCAGCTGCCACGCTCAGGGTTCCCAGACCCCGGGACCGCCACCTCTCCCCACGTGATCATGCTCTGCTGTGGTCCCTGTGCCTGTCTCACCCCCTCTGGGCTTGGAGCTCCATCAGGGGGGTCCTGTGTGCTCGGCCCCCCTCCCTGCAGCTCCTGGGTCCTGAGAGGGGCCTGGTTTGGAACAGGAGGGAAGGACCTGTGGGAGCAGGAGGGCTGGACGGCCAGGGGGCCAGGGCTCAGGCCAGGCAGGCCCAGAGTTGGTGTCCTTCTGGGGGAGAACAAGGGCATTTCTCACTCTGAAGGGAAATGTTGGATTCAGGTGAGGCCTGGGCACTGTCCCAGGAGCAGGGCAGTGAGCTGGGGCCTGGTCCGGGGGAGGCAGTGGTTCCCAGGAGCAGTGAAGCAGGTGGACTGAGCTGTGGAGGGTGCAGGCGCCTTCCCGGAATCGCCCCACTTCCTGTAAGAGCCCCGGCCACCTGGCTGCTTTCCCTGCACACCAGGCGCTGGGCCGGCCCCTCCCAGGACCCTGTGTGGTCAGGACACCAGGGCTATTGGGGGCGGGGAGCTGTCCCCATCTGACCCTGAGAATGGAATGTGGGGCATCAGGCAGACACTTGCCTGGGAGGAAGGAGGAGCGAGAACAGAGGGGCTGGGGGGCATGAACCCCAGCAGCAGCTGAGGCCCACGGCTACATGTCCTGCAGGCACAGGCCCCCGGAGAGGATTGATCTGGGTCAGGTCGGCATTGGTGCTGAGGTGGAAAGTCTCTGCCCTGAAGCCCTCACTCAGATCACAGAAGGGGAGGCCAAGCTAATGAGTCCATAACTGGGGTGAAATGGAAACAAGAAACACTAAATTAAGATAAAAAGCAGAAGTAGAGAAAGAAGGGAATAGAGAAATCTTAGGACAAATAGAAAACAACATGTTTCTAAATAACCCCTGTGAGAACCAATCCTGAAACCCTAAAAAAAGTGTTCAGTTGAGGTGAGTAAATTAATACACACAAATAAATAGACAATAGATTAAAATCCATGGGATGCAGGAACAGCAGCAGTGAACGGGAAATGTGTACCATAAACGCTCCCATTGGAGAAGAGGAAGTCTCCAATTACTATCCCAGCTCCATCTCAAGAAACAGGAAAGGGAAGGAGAAAACCAAGGCCAGTGCAAGGAAGGAAATAACAGAGCGCAGAAGCCAGTGAAACTGAAAACACAGACAGAACAGAGAAAATCAAACAAACAAAAGCTGGATCTTTGAAAACATCGATTATGTCAACAAACTCGTTCATTAAAAGATGACAAAGGAAAAGAGAGAAGACGCTGATTACCAGGATTGGGACGGGAAGCGGGGCTGTTACTACAGAGCCTGCGGGCACCGGGGCTCCCAGGGATCCTGTGCACAGCGTTACTCACACTTGACATTCTGGGTGAAATGGGCCAATTGCTTGAAAAAGCCCAACGTACACACCTCAGTAAGAACAGAGACCTCACCTCTCTTCAGGGTGTTTCAGTGCAAGGAACCGCTCAGGTGCTGGTCGCACCCACAGCGGAGGCCTTGAGGGGGATGAAGTCAGGAAGTTGGGTGGGAGCCACACTGAGCCAGTGCAACCAGGACACGAGCGTCAGAAGTGTTTGTCTTCCTGGGCTGGGTCAGAGGGAAAACGAAACTCTTGATCATAGAAGGCTGGGCCCCGAGGCAGCAGCACAGACACAGCTGCACAGAAGGATGGCTCCGGTAAGTCCCCAGAAAGCTTTTATTTCAAACACCGCAATTCTGTTAGTGGTGATGATGTGGGTCTCCTTGCTGGGCTGCAGCTCTGGCACCGAGGGGCACGGGCGCCTGCTGAGGCCTGAGGGTCCGCTACCCGGGGCGGGAGGGCTCCCCAGAGCCTTCTTGAGGAGGCAGGAATGGTGGGCTCAGGGGGGGGCAGCCTCTGCCCACTGCCCAGTCCCACCTCCTCAGTCACACTGTCCTGCGTGGCTGCGATGAGCTCGGGAGGGAGGGACGGGAAAATGGCTCCCAGCGGTGTGGGGCCGAGGCAGGGACTGCAGGAAGGGTTCTTATCCATCCTTCACCTCCAAGAAGCTCACCCGTTCCCTCTGCTTTTCTTTCCATCCCTCTCTTCCCCTTCCATGTGCTGCTCCTTCCTTCTGGCTGCGTAACAGTCACATTTCCAAATGCTCGCTGCATCCTGACACCATGCAAAAGGCTTTTATTTAATCTCTGCTTCAAGTGTGTCATCACATTTTCCGTGTTAACTGCCCCCCTCCCCAAACCCAAACCCAAATGGAAACCTAACATTGAGGCTAAAGTCCCCTGCACTGCTCCCCCCCCCCGCCCCCCGCCGCACACAGTCCCTCCTCTGTGTGGCTCTGTACGTGTCCTGCCAAGTGTTTTCTAGTCCTTTGCATACAGAAGTGTATCCACCTTTTAAGTGTTGTTTTGTGGCTTTGGGTTTTGCTGTCATTCTTAACTTGGTTGTCTGAGTGCAGTTCACTTAGGAAATGCTTGAATCTTTTCCTTTATTTACCAGCTTTTGAAATAATATGGTGATTCTTTTGTATCCTCCAAAGGTAACCAATGCATTTCTAAAAATGTCATTATGAACACACTAGACCCTGGTGCATGAATTCGTGCACCAGTTGGGTCCCTTGGCCTTCCCTGCAGGATCAGGACAAAACTGGCTCTCCGACATCCCCCGAGGGGTCCTGGATTGTGAGAGGATGCAGGCCAGGCTGAGGGACCCACTGGTACACAATTGGGGCCAGGAAGGGATGTGGTCAGTTCGGCAGCTGGGGAGGGACCATTCGAGGGCTCCAGGGTGTGTCTGGCTTATCTCCCTGAGTCCCCAAGAGCCAGACCCCAGCAGCAAGCTTACCTACCAGTTGAAGCATCTTCCCCCTGGTGGTCAGTGCATGTCATAGGGACTGGTCTACCATTCGACTGTCTGCCCCTTGGTGATCAGTGCATGTCATAGCGAGCAGTTGAGGGGCCTTCGCATATCATTAACATATGCTTTGATTGGTTGAAGGGATGACTGGACAGCCAGACACTTAGCATATTAGGCTTTTATTATATAGGGTTGATATCATTATTCACATATCTGATGTGTTTCTTTTTGATGCTCAAATTGTTCCATCTTTGGTCAAGTGGACCTATGATGCCTGTAGTCAAAAGCTTTTCTCTCAACCATGTCTCCCCAGCAGACTTCCAGTTGGCAGCCACCCTCACTTCTCCCAGCAACAGCCACCCACCCTGGTCATGGTGCTCGGGGCCCTTGTGACCCCGCTCACCTGAGTCAGGGAGGAGAGGTGCTGGCTGACCTCGGAGCGATCCTAAATAGAACTTGTGTGATACGGGCGTGTTTCGCATTCCCAGTGGGATGAGGGGAACATACTCCCTGCTCCTGCAAAACCCAGAAGGGCACTGCCCTGCCACCAACTCCACTCACACCCTGGGTCCCCAGCTGGGTTTTGGCCTGGAGCCCAGACTTCAGCTGCCCCCACCTGCCTGGGATGCTCTGGGATTTAAAGGGCGCAACATTGGTAGCATGCAGACTAGGTTTTGATCTTTCTCTTCTATTCACTGGGTAAGGATCTTTGCATGTTACCTAACCTTCCTGAGACTCAGTCTTCTCATCTGTCAAATGGGGTAATGACAGTTTGTAGTCAAAGGAGTGATGGATATGAAATGTGGGCCCTGTTGAGCACCGTGTCTGGCTGTGCAGGTCGGGGCTCTATCACTCAGAATCACTCAGGCCTGGCGCAAGGTGGGGGCCCTTGATGACGCATTTGAGACTTCCTGGGAGTCATATACTCACTCACTGACACCAACATGCTCTGGCATAAGATGTGCTCATGCCCGTGTCTGCACACCTCTCGGCCACACCCCCGTGCTGCACACCTGCCCACACCTCCCCTCCGGACACCCTGTCCATCTCTTCTTTGTCCCCCAAAGAGCTCACTTCCAGTTCAGCAGCCCCAGTAAAGGAGGGACTTTGCGTCTGTGGGAGGAGAGCGCCCTCTTCCATTTCCTGCAGGAGATGATCAGAGGGCGCTTGCAGGCTGGGCTGGGGCTCCTCACAGGTCAGGTTCTAGAATGTTCCCTGAGAGGACTAACCTCAGCCTGTTTCTGGTTTTTCAGTCACAGGCTGAACCAAAACCTGGAGACCTGATTGAGATTTTCCGCCCTGGTTACGCACACTGGGCCGTCTACGTGGGGGACGGCTACGTGGTGCACCTGGGTCCTCCAGGTGAGGCTGGTTCTCCGCTGAAGCTGAGGGCAGAGGTGGGAGTGTTAGCGGCTGCACACTCGTGTGCTGTTCTCACCCAGTGCCCGGATGGTGGGCACTCCCTGGCCATTGGCTGCATGATGTTCCCTGGTAGGTCTGCAGCCGCTCCTCTTCCTCAGCAGTGAGTTCGTGGAGGACGGATTGTTGGTCTTTGTTCCAGGTGATACTGGGGTTCACTTCCAGCCAACCCACTGTCCCAGGGAAGCACCCCTTTGTGTGCTCCATGTTCTGGGGGCAGATGAGTAGGACACAGCGTACAGCTGGCTCAGAGGCATGGAAGGAGCGAGGGCCTCCCACTTAGCAGAACCCGTTTGGGGTCCTGGGACCTCCACTTGCCGACCTGTGACTTGCCCGTGTGACTTGCCCCCTGAGCTCAGCTGCACCCTCTGTAGAGCAATGAGAACCCCACCTCCCGGTCGTGCAGGGTGGGATGCAGGACAGCACGGGGGAGCTGGGCAGGGCCTAGCAGGTGCTGGGCCAACCTCCCTTCCCTCCCAGAGCTTCGTGGCATTAAAGCAAAGGCCGAAAGCCTGGAAACCACCAACAGCAGGGAACGGGCCAAATAAAATCGGTGCCTGCATTTCATGGCAGACGGTGCCACCATTACAAACAGCTGTATGGAGGTGTGTGCATACACATGTGAATTTGAAAGCCAAACGCAGGCTTTAAAAAATTAAGCTTATTGAGGAATAACTTACTATTTTATTTTTTTGTAATCCTCATCTGAGGATATTTTTTCCATTGATTTTTAGAGAAGTGGGAGTGGGGAGAGAAACATCAATGTGAGATGTTTCTCTCTCTCACCCTCTCTGTGAACAGGATGATGCTCCAGCCAACTGATCCACACTGGCCAGGGTCAAATGCCCTTTTAAAAAGAAAATAAGAACTGGTGAACTAAAGTGTACACACACACACACACACACACACACACACACACACACATACACAGTCAGTGAATGCAGAAGCTGGTCATTGGATGAGCTGGCTGTTCAGAGATTGATGTTTTACCAACAGGCTTTCTGTGAGCCCAGCTCCATCCGGCAGGTCCACTGGCCCTTCCCTGAGGGTTTCTGGGCCCATCACTCACCTTCTCCTGTCAGCTTTCCCAGAAGCCTGGGTGAGGCAGGAGGCGGGCGTCCTGTTAGGGGCCAATCTGAGAATTCAGAGCTGGGAGAGGGTGGCCACCACCTGACCCAGGCCCTTCCGTCTGTAAGTGATGAAAGCCCCTGAGAGGAGAAGGGACTGGCCTGAGGCCACACGGTGGGTGGGGCTCTGGGTTTGCAGGTCAGGCCTGGGCTTGCTCAGCAGCCTCCTTTCCTACTATTGAAAACATGTCACCCTGGCCGCTGAGGGCCCCACCCCACTCTGGCTGGGGCTGCACCTGGGGTCTGTGCCCTGTACCCTCTGCCCCTCCTGCATCTTTCAGGGACATCTGAGCCCACAGGGGCCTTTAGAAGAATCCACATCCTCGGCTTTAGAAATGAGGAGCCAGAGTCCAGGGGGCATCTGTGACTTCTCCAAGGGCACCCAGGCGGGGGTCGGCCTGTGTTTGAGGTTGAAGTCAGGCAGGGGGCCGGCCTTTCCCCAGCTCATCCTCACTGATGAAGCCCAGGGCAGTGGGGCTGCCTGCTTGCCCGCGCTGAGTCCCAACCGTTGGCCTCTTTCCTCTTTGGGAACCACAGGTGAAATCGGGGGAGCGGGGTCAGCCAGCCTCATGTCCGCCCTGACAGACAAGGCCATAGTGAAGAAGGAGCTGCTTTATTTTGTTGCCGGGAAACACACGTACCGTGTCAATAACAAGCATGACCAGAAGTACCCACCGCTGCCTCCCAGCGATATTGTGCGCCGCGCGGAGGAGAAGGTGGGGCAGGAGATACTCTACAAGGTGACCAGCGACAACTGTGAGCACTTTGTGAATGAGCTGCGCTACGGAGTCTCCCGCAGTGACCAGGTGCGTCCTCAGCCCGTGTCCCTGTCCCCAGGAACCAGACCATTCCCTCCGCTGACAGAGGCTGGGCATCATGTGGGCGGGGGCGGAGGCATGAAGGCCACAAAATAGCAGGGACAGAATCCATGCCCCGAGGGAGTGACAGTCGGGGTAGGGATGAGAGTGGGGAGAAGTGCCAGTCGCTGTGCAGACCATGAGGTAGGGGGTGATGTTGCAGCCATGACAGTCACCCCTGGCCCCTCCCATAGCTCCAGAGGAGAGTTTTTTATCCCCACTTCACAGATGGGGAAACTGAGGCTCATGGTGCTTTCCTCGCTCACCCAAACTCATTCCACCACTAGGCATCGAGTCTCTAGCACCTGACAGCCAAGTGCAGAGGTGGGATTTGAACCCAGGTGCCTGATCCAGGAGGCATCACAGAAGAGGCAACATTCGAGCTGAATCTGATTTCTTTTTTAAAAGAAATCTATTTCATTGATTTCAGAGAGGAAGGGAAAGGGATAGAGAGTTAGAAACATTGATGAGAGAGAAACATTGATCAGCTGCCTCCAGCACACCCCTACTGGGGACGTGCCCGCAACCAAGGTACATGCCCTTGACTGAAATCGAACCAGGGACCCGCAGTCCACAGGCCTTCCTCAATTATGTGATCAGGCCTGGCAGGGGGCTGGCTTGGGCCCCTGTGCCATAGTTTGCTGACTCCTGGTCTCAGATAATCTGAAAAACTACATACCCCTCACACATTCTTAGCTGACATCAAACATTTAAAAAGTTTATAGATACTAAAGAGTTCAGAGGATGGCATTTTTGGTAGGTGGTACATATGTGTATTTTCTTCACATCCTTGGCTTTGCAGTTAGCTCACGCAGTTAATGGAAAATGCCTGCATGTCATTTGAATACACAGAGCAGGCATTCCTGCCAACCAGTCAGCCAAAGCAGACCTAATTTCATTCATTTATTTATATTTATTTATTGTTAGTCCTCATCCAAGGATATTTTTCCATTGATTTTTAGAGAGTGGAAGGGAGGGGAGAGACACAGAGAGAGAAACATTGATGTGAGCCAGGCATATTAATTAGTTGCCTCCCCCCTGAGCCCCATCTAGGGCCGAGGATGAGCTTGCAACTGAGGTACACGCCCTTGACTTGAATCGAACCTGGAACCCTTCTTTCCACTGTATCCACTGAGGCCAAACCAGCTAGGGCCAGACTTCACTTCTTTTAGGAAAAAAGCTGGATTCCCCTTCCCCACAACTCAAATGAATACATTACAGCACGTTTCCATGGCAACTGTCTGGGGTGGGAATTCCCATCTACAGTAACAGAGGTAGAGGGAGCCTCCCAGGGGGGATGTGGTCTCCTGGTTCTTCCCACGGCCGGTCTGTCTGGGAGCACTGGGTGCCCCATCCTCGCTGGAACCTTACGCCTCGTCCAAGGCTGTAGATCCCGGTCGGTGAGGAAGACGCTCCTCTTCTGTGAGGGGAGAAGGGCTGTGGTGAAAGGGGAGGGGCAGGGAACCCCCTGGGAACTGCCCCCTGGAGCCCGTGGGGACCCTGCTGTGGGGTCTCCCTCCTTTGAGCTGAGGTGGGAGGCGTGGCAGCCTGCGGGTCCGGCTGCCCATCAGGCTTCTGTGCTGGAACCCCCGAGGGCCAATCTGGGAGACCCCAACTTTTCAGGGGTGGTTGGCTGCCTGCTGTGCTCCCGAGGGACTGGGGGGAGGTCTCTTCCCCTGAGCAGCTGGTCCCTGGTGCCTCCCTTTTGAGCTTCCATGGCCGGGAACTCGACCTTGCCTGTCTGTCTCCCTCTTACTCCTTCCTGCTCCCTGACTCTGTGTCTACAGAGACTCCTTTCATCTGCCTCCATAAATGAGTGGGCGCCCCTAGGCCGGCCCCAGCCCCTGAAATGCCTGCGGGAGAAGCGGAAGGCTGCCAGGAGAAGGACTGTCCAGCCAACCTCTGAGCCGGGCCCTGAGCGCCTCTCCGAGCGCTTACTGACAGGGGCTGACACTGGGAACCCCCTCTGTCCCGGGACCGGCATGTGTGGCCTGCAGCTCAGGAGTGTGGCTCTCAAGGACCTGGGCGCTTATTGGTCCTTGAGCACTCAAGGTCCAGTCATTGGAAATGTCGTCGTCTGTTGGGGTCCAACCCCAACGGGTCCAGGGATCCCCAAAGGTGTGGACGGAGTCGGCAAAGAATGAATGACATGGAAACTGGTTTCAGTTCATCAGCATAGCGAGGTTCTCCCTCCAGGATCTCCAGCGAAGTTCTGGCTAGGATCTCCAGCGAAGTTCTGGTCAGGATCTCCAACCAAGTTCTGGTGCCATGTTCTCTCGCTAGGTTCTGTCTAGGATCTCCAGCCAAGTCCTGTCTCTTGGTTCTCTCTCTAGGTTCTCTGTCAGGATCTCCAACCAAGTTCTGGTGCCATGTTCTCTCGCTAGGTTCTCCAGCCAGGTTCTCCAGGTTCTCCAGCCAGGTTCAGTCACCAGGTTCTTTAGCAAGGTTCTATCCAGGTTCTTTTGCCATGTTCTGTCTAGGTTCTCCAGTGAAGTTCTGTAGCCAGGTTCTGTCCAGGATCTTTTGCCATGTTCTCTGGCTAGGTTCTGGTTAGGATCTGACGAGGTTCTGATGAGGAGCTGATGAGGAGCTGATGAGGAGCTGATGAGGAGCTGATCAGGTTGTGTTGAGGATCTGATGATTATTGTCTTGTTACATCCGTATTTATACCAGCCGATTTTAATCCTGTCAATTTCTATTACAAAGGTTAGGGCGTTTCTTATTTCCATTCCAGGGAGTAAAGATTATGTAGCTTAACTACCCGCCTGGCACTTAATTAAGGGGTTGTATCCCCTCCCTAACCTCAGAGAAAAATCCCCACCTGGGGAAACAACCTTTCTCAGAGAGGTGACCTTGGTTAAAACACATGGCACTAAGGAGAGCAAACATATTAAGAACAATATGCTTTATATGCCAGGTCCCTTGAAACATATGCTGTGCAGATGTTTCTTTCCTGCAGCGACTGTGTCAAGCAGCAAGGATGGACCGGCTCCCGGCAGTCGTCCATCCTGGCTGCGCACCTCCGCTGGTTGGGCATCACCCTGCCCACCAAGAGGTCGCCAGTTCAGTTCCTGGTCAGGCTCAGGCGTTGCGGGCTTGACCCCACAGGGGTGTGAGCAGGAGGCAGCCCATGGATGTGCTCTCACATGGATGCTTCTCTCTCTCCCTCTCCCTTCCCCTCTCTCAAAATCAATAAACTATTCTTAACAAAAAACATGTAGAGAGATGCAGTGTCAGGAGGGCCGGGCCTCTGCCTCCTCTCCCGTGGGAGCCTGGGAGCCTGGCTCCATCCATCCAGCTGGCAGACACCGGGCCCAACCGCACCGATGCTGACCGGCCCTTTGCAAATTCTCATTTCACGCACTCCTGAGCCCTCGCTGTCCCCCTCCTGTGCGCACCCTTTAAAACACCCGTCAGCTCTGTGCCAGTCAGAGTGGAGCTGAGGAAAGTCTGTTTATCGCTGACACGTGGGAGCGAGTCTGAGTGTCTGTGAATGAAGTGGGCGGTGCGGGCTTTCCTTCTCCAGCCGCTCACGTGGCGCCAAGTCACGGTCTTCCACAGAAACCTGCTATGTGCTCTGTGTTGAGCATTTTTCCTTCGGGGGAGGAGACTTGGTGGGCTTGTTAGGGCACCAGGCGTCCTGGTCCCTGGCACTGGGGGTGGGGTGGCTTTGGGGAGTTCTTCCCGCTGTCCCTCCTCAGTCCTCTCCTCTGTACAGTGGGCATCTAACATGGGTATCCGTAGGTTTGGGGACAGATTGAGACAATTGAGAGCCTGGGGAGTCCTGCCCAGTGTTGACGCCTGGAAGCAGCCGCTCTCGGGGTCTTCGCCCGCTTCCCCAGCACAGTGCTGTGGGCAGGGGTGGCTCACACGGCGTTGCATAGTTCACGACCCTGAGGGACCATCCTGGTGTCTCCACCGCCTCATTCCTGCTGTCCGAGTGTCCGCTTCCTTGTCCAGAACCCTCCCCGGTCAGCGCAGAAGCAGGTGATCTCACTCCAGAAGCCGCTGCCCAGACACGACATGGGATCAGAGCTCCCCCACCAGCGCCCACGCTGTGCCTGGGCCGGGCTCAGCTCCTGGGCCGCCCAGAACCATCCTGGCCCAGCCCTGGGTTGTGAGAGCTCACAGGGGGTTTCCCCAACTCTGCACGTGCTTCAGGCTCCCAGTGGCCAGCCCTCACCTAGACCGTCCAGGCACTGCCTGTGTCCTTCCCCCGGCACCCCCTGTGGCTTTCTGAGCCTTCCAGCACCTACAGGGCCGCTGTCTCCCTCACACCCACAGCTCCTTCCCCCACCCGTTCTCTCCCCGCCTCTTCTCTGCTCTCCTGGTGGCCTGTTGCCCTGCAAACACCCGCTCCTTCTGTGGATCCGTTGAGGGGACCCGGGTCTCTCCTGAGTGAAGATTCTTGGTGGGTGTGTCTGTGGCCAGGCCCCTGACGAGGAGTGTGACGCCCGTCTTTGTGCTGCAGGTCACCGGAGCGGTTGTGGCTGGCGGCGTGATGGCTGGCAGCATGATGCTCCGCATGGCACTCTGCTATTTACCTGGTTTGTCAGTAGGCCTGGGCCTGGGCCTGGCCGTCTCGGCCTTCATTGGGTCCCTGAAGGACACAGGCGAGCAAGCAGGAAGTACAGAGAGGTCAAGGAATCATCCCAGCAGCAGCCGGTTAGTATGGAGAGGATTTATTTACCCAGAAGGGGTAGGGTGGGGTTTATTGATTTCACTCTGTTTTATACTCATTTAGGCTAAATTTTTTTTAATTCTTTATTAGTTAAGGTATTACAAATATGTCCTTAACTCCAATCCTCCCCCCACCCCCCTCATGTTCTCATCCCCCTGTTGTCCGTGTCCATTGGTTTGGCTTATATGCATGCATACAAGTCCTTTGGTTGATCTCTTCCCCTTACCCCCTCCCTCCCCTACTTTCCCTCTGGGGATTGATAGTCTGATCGCTATTTCTCTGTCTTTGGATCTGTCCCTGTTCATCAGTCTATGTTGTTCTCTATAATCCACAAATGAGTGAGATCATGTGGTATTTATCTTTCTCTGACTGGCTTATTTCACTTAGCATAATGCTCTCCAGTTCCATCCATGCTGTTGCAAAAGGCAAGAGTTCCTTCTTTTTTACAGCAGCATAGTATTCCATCGTGTAGATGTACCACAGTTTTCTAATCCACTCATCTGCTGGTAGGCACTTAGGCTGTTTCCAAATCTTAGCTATGGTGAATTGTGCTGCTATGAACATAGGGGTGCATATATCCTTTCTGATTGGTGTTTCTGGTTTCTTGGGATATATTCCTAGAAGTGGGATCACTGGGTCAAATGGGAGTTCCATTTTTAGTTTTTTGAGGAAGCTCCATACTGTTCTCCACAGTGGCTACACCGGCCTGCACTCCCACCAGCAGTGCAGAAGGGTTCCTTTTTCTCCACATCCTCTCCAACACTTGTTGTTTGTTGATTTGTTGATGATAGCCATTCTGACAGTTGTGAGATGATACCGAATTGTTGTTTTGATTTACAGCTCTCATATAATTAGTTACTTTGAGCATGTTTTCATATGTCTTTTGGCCTTCTGTATGCCCTCTTTGGAAAAGTGTCTATCTAGGTCCATTGTGCATTTTTTGATTGGATTGTTTATCTTCCTATTGTTAAGTTTCATGAGTTCCCTGTAAATGTTGGAGATTAAACCCTTATCGGTGATATCATTGGCAAATATGTTCTCCCATGCAGTGGGTCTTTTTGTTGTTTTGTTGATGGTTTCCTTTGCTGTGCAAAAGCTTTTTATTTTGATGTAGTCCCATTTGTTTATTTTCTCTTTAGTTTCCATTGCCCTCGGAACATTACCAGAGAAGAAATTCGTTCGGCATATGTTTGCGATTTCGCTGCCTGTGGATTCCTCTAGTATTTTTATGGTTTCCCGTCTTACGTTTAAGTCTTTTATCCATTTTGAGTTTATTTTTGTATATGGTGTGAGTTGGTGGTCTAATTTCATCTTTTTGCATGTATCTGTCCAATTTTCCCAACACCATTTATTGAAGAGACTGTCTTGACTCCACTCTTGCCTCCTTTGTTGAATATTAATTGGGCACAGTGATTTGGCTCCATTTCTGGGGTCTCTATTCTATTCCATTGATCTATATGTTGTTCTTGTGCCAGTACCAAGCTCTTTTAAGAACAATGGCTTTGTAATACAGTTTGATATCTGGTATTGAGATCCCACCTACTTTGTTCTTCTTTCTCAGGATTGCTGCAGCTATTTGAGGTCTTTTTTTATTCCAGATGAATTTTTGGAACGTTCATTTTAGATCTGTGAAATATGCCGTTGGTAATTTAATTTGGATTGCATTGAATCTATAGATTGCTTTGGGTAGTATGGACATTTTGATGATCATGATTCTACCAATCCATGAACACAGTATGTTCTTCCATCTGCTTATGTCTTCCTCTGTCTCTTTTTTCAGTGTCCTGTAGTTTTTCGCATATAAGTCTTTTATCTCCTTAGTTAAGTTTATTCCTAGGTATCTTAATTTTTCTGGTGCAATGGTAAATGGGATTGCTTTTTTAGTCTCACTTTCTGTAAGTTCACTATTGGTGTAAAGAAATGCCATGGATTTCTTGGCATCAATTTTGTAACCTGATACATTGCCGAATTCATTTATTAAGACTAATAATTTTTTGATGGAGTCTTTAGGATTCTCTATGTACAGTATCATGTCATCTGCAAATAAGGACAGTTTTACTTCTTCTTTTCCAATTTGGATGCCTTTTATTTCTTCTTCTTGTCTGATCGCAACTGCTAGTACTTGTAGTACTATGTTGAACAGGAGTGGTGAGAGGGGGCATCCCTGTCTTGTTCCTGTTTTTAGGGGAAATGGTTTAGTTTTTGCCCATTGATTATGATGTTGGCTGTGGGTTTGTCATATATGGCTTTTATTATGTTGAGGTATGATCCTTCTATTCCTACCTTGCTGAGAGTTTTTATCAAGAAAGGGTGTTGAATTTTGTCAAAAGCTTTTTCTGCATCAATTGTTATGTTTATGTGGTGTTTTTCTCTCAATTTTTTTATGTGATATATTATGTTTATTGATTTGCGGATATTGTACCATCCTTGCATCCCTGGAATAAATCCTACTTGGTCATGGTGTATGATCTTTCTGATGTACTGCTGGATCCGATCTGCTAGGATTTTGTTGAGGATTTTGGCATCTATGTTCACGAGGGATATTGGCCTGTAATTCTTTTTCATTGTGTTGTCTTTATCTGATTTTAGTATTAGGGTGATGCTGGCTTCATAGAATGAGCTTGGAAGTGTTCCTTCCTCTTGAATTTTTGGGATAGTCTGAGGAGGATAGGTTTTAGTTCTTCCTTGAATGTTTGGTAAAACTCCCCTGTAAAGCTGTCTGGCCCCGGGCTTTTGTTTGCTGGAAGGTTTTTGATGACTGCTTCAATTTCTTCCATAGTTATTGGCCTGTTGAGATTTTTAGCTTCTTCCTGATTAAGTTTTGGAAGGTTGTATTTTTCTAGGAATATGTCCATTTCCTCCAGGTTGTCTAGTTTGTTGGAGTAGAGTTGTTCGTAGTATTTTCTAACAATCCTTTGCATTTCTGTGGGGTCTGTTGTTATTTCGCCTCTATCATTTCTGATTTTGTTTATTTGGGTCCTCTCTCTTTGTTTCTTGGTGAGCCTGGCTAGAGGTTCATCAATCTTGTTTATCCTTTCAAAGAATCAGCTCTTGGTTTTGTTGATCTTTTGTATTGTTTTTTTGGTCTCTATGTTGTTTATCTTTGCTTTGATCTTTATTATTTCCTTCCTTCTGCTTACACTGGGCTTTTCTTGTTGCTCTCTTTCTAACTCTTTGAGTTGTAAGGTTAGGTAATTTATTCTCAGTGTTTCTTGTTTCTTGCAATAGGCTTGTAGAGCTATGAACTTCCCTCTCAAGACTGCTTTCGCTGTGTCCCATAGGTTTTAGATTGTTGTGTTTTCATTGTCGTTTGTTGCCATGATGTTTTTTATTTCTTCTTTGATCTCTCTGGTAACCCAGTCATTGTTTGTTTGTTTGTTTGTTTGTGTGGGTGGGTGTACTCAGCGACTAAACCCCTCTGTCTGCAACCCAGGCAGACCGCCTACCCCTCCCTGTGCTGAGGCAGGCAGGACACCTGATATCTCTCTCCACAGAGGTTCCCACTGGGCAGCCACCCCCAGGATGGCTTCCACCTCTGGGCCCCCGCCTTTCAGGCTGGAGACCTATGGAGGCTGGGAAGATGGAGCTGATGTGCACACAGGACAGCAGGGGCTTGGGGACGTGCTGCCCCCCATGGAGTCACCGTATGTGCCGGAAGACCAGAACTTCTCCCCTCAGATCAGAGTGAACCTCAACTACCAAAAGGCAGCAGGTGCCAGGTAAGGCAGTAAATGGGGGTGCAGCTCGGGGTCCCTCACTTCCAGCAGAGCACTTGGTGTCCCTTCCCCGACAGCCTGCAGGGTCCTCATTCTGACTGTGACAGCTCCTGGCCCTTTGCTGCCCCTAGGCTCTGTGCCTAGAGTTGCTGGGCTGGCACGGACTAAGGGGGCCCAACTGTGCAGTGAAAGTTGGAATTGCGGGTTACCTTCCATGTGGAGCCTGTAGTCTAAAAAGTTGATTTTAGAGAGGAAGGGAGAGGGAGAGAGAGAGAAACAGTGGAGAGAGAGAGAGAGAGAGAAATGGCAGTGAGAGAGAGAGAAACATCAATCTGTTGCCTCCTGAGTTCACCCTGTGAAGGAAAACCCCTATTCTGTAAAACTACTGTTTGGAATTCTCTGCTATTCTTTAGACGGCCTCTTATTCTAAAAAAAAATAGCTTTGCTTTCTAGCCTGCTTTAGCCTACTTGAATAATGAGGAGGATAAACTTAGCTGTCTGACCTTGTAGGCCAGAGTCTAGATATGCCCAATGCCATGCCAGGTGCATTTTTTTAATTGGATAGAACTGTGTAGTTTTCAAGGCCACTTGCCAGAGTCCATTCATTGTCTTCACTAGCTGAGTTTAGACAGAGACCCCCAAAAGCTAGTAACCTTTGAATTCCTAGCAAAGGTCAGAACTGCACCACCCAGTTAATCTAGGAACCACCCAGTTAATTTAGGTAATAACAGCTGAAGCATCCCCACCTTAGTTCCCTTAATTCCTTAGATACTTGTGTAGATCCTTGTTGATTCCAGTCATTGTTTAATAGCGTGCCATTTAGTCTCCATGTCTTTGATTTTTTTGGATTGTTTTTATTGTAGTTGATTTCCAGTTTTATGCCATTGTGGTCTGAGAAGATGCTTGATATGATTTCAATCTTCTTGAATTTGAAGAGACTTTGCCTGTGACCCAATATATGGTCTGTCTTTGAAAATGACCCATGTGCACTTGAAAAGAATGTATATTCTGTGGCTTTGGGGTGAAATGTTCTGAAGATGTCAATTAATTCCACCTGATCTAGTGTGACATTTAGGATTGATGTTTCTTTGCTGATTTTTTGTAGAGGATTTGTCCAATGGTGATAATGGGGTGTTAAAGTCCCCTACTATGATTGTGTTGCTGTCAATCTCTCCCTTGATCTCCTCCAGAAGATTTCTTATGTATTTTTGTGCTCCTATATTAGGTGCGTATATGTTTACCAGAGTTATTGCTTCTTGTTGGATTGCTCCCTTTAGTATTATGAAGTGGCCTTCCTTATCTCTTTTTATGTCCTTCACTTTGAGATCTAATTTGTCAGATATAAGTATTGCTACCTCGGCTTTTTTCCCGCTTCCATTCTCCTGAAAAACCTTTTTCTATCCCTTCACCATCAGTCTGTGTGCGTTTTTTTCTGAGGTGGGTTTCCTGTAGACAGCAGATATATGGGTCATGTTTTCTTATGCATTCAGTTACCCTATGTCTTTTGATTGGGCCATTTAATCCATTTACATTTAAAGTTATTATTGATAGATACTTGTTTGTCACCATTTTTATTCTTTACCTCTGTGTTCCTTCTTCGTTTCTTATTTTTTCTTTTTACAGCAGACCCTTTAGCATTTCTTGCATTGCTGGTTTGGTGGTAATAAACTCCCGTAGTCCTTTTTTGTCTGTGAAACTCCTGATTTCACCCTCAATTTTGATTGATAGCCTTGCTGGGTACAGTATTCTTGGATTCAGACCCTTCCTTTGCATGACTTTATATATTTCATTCCATTCCCTTCTTGCTTGATGTGTTTCTGTTGAGAAATTAGTCGTTAGTCTGATGGGGGATCCTTTGTAGGTAACTTTCTGTTTCTCTCTGGCTGCTTTTAAGATTCTTGCTTTGTCATTGTTGTTTGCCAATTTAATTATAATATGCCTTGGCGTCAGTCTTTTGGGGTTCATTTTGTTTGGGACTCTGTGAGCTTCTTGGATTTGTGTGAGTTTTTTCTTCCCTATATCAGGGAAGTTTTCTGTCATTATTTTTTCAAACAGATTTTCTATTCCTTGCTCAGTTTCCTCTTCGGATGTTGTTTCGTTCCGTGTGGTCCCAGAGTTCTCTTAGGCTCTCGTTCTCTTAGGCTCTCCTCCTGCTTTTTAATTTTTTTTCCTAGAAGCTGCTCTGCTTGGGTATTTTTCCTACCTTGTCTTCTAGCTCATTGATGCGGTCCTCTGCTTCTTCTAGTCTACTGTTGATGCTTTCTATTGATTTTTCATTTCTTCTTGGTTTTTCTTCATTTCCTCTTGGTTCTTACACATATTGTTGAATTTGTCTTCCATTCTTTTCATCCATCTTATTGTCATATCTCTGAATCCTTTTTCTGACAGGTTGCTTGTCTCCATTTTGTTTACTTCCTTTTCTGGTGATGCCTGTTTTTCTGATGCCTGTTTTTCTTTCATACGCGGGCTGGTTCTTTGTTTCACCATGATCTCTCTCCTCCAGGTGTTTGGTTATGTAGATTGATTTAAAGGCACAAAATACAACACAACAAGGCACAATGTACAAGGCACTGAACACAAATGGAATCACGATATTAATAACCCCAAATAAAGGTGACCACCCGAGCAAAGAGAATTAGGGGATAAGGAAGAAAGAAGAGAAAAAAAAAGAGAAAAAGAAGAAAAAAGGAGTGCAAAAATGAAATTTGGAAAAGGGAGGGGAAAAAAGTAAGAGAGAAAAGAGAGAGAATGAAATAGAAAAGGGGAAGAGACTATTTATATGGGGAGAAAACTCCAATAGAATCGCCACTAATCCCAACCAATTCCAGCAACAGATCCCTGGAGATGAATGCAAACTACAAACAACCACTAATATCAAGCGAGGTGAGGGAAAACAGAAGCACAAAAGTAACCAGAGGGGGAAAAAACAACAGAAAAAGAAAAAGAAAAACAATCTCACAAACAAGCACAAAAAAACCAATATACTCAACAATCAAGAAAACAATAACAAAACGACAGAGAGAAAAAAAAATTGGATAGTGAAGAAAGATAAGAGAGAGGTGTATATGGATTTAGAGCAGGGGATTGGAAATTAGATATATAAGTAGGGTGAAATTTAGACAGGGGGTATAAAGAAGGAATAGGGAAAATCTAAAGCAGGAACAGGGTAAGAGAAACAGGACAACAAAAGGGGAAAAGTGAGGAAGAGAGTTTTGGCATAAAGGTAAAGTTGAGGCAGAGAAAAATGATGCTAAAGGAACGATGAAAATAGAAAGTAGAACACAAATTCCAAAATAAAATAAAGAGAAAATAAAATGACACTTTTAAAAAATGGTAAAATGGTAGTAGTATTAATACTGGTTAAGAATAAAAATGTAGTAATTAAAGAGGTAAAATCAGGTGATGAAAAAAGAAAAAAATAGTTTCTTAATTAAAAGGTGAAAAAAGAATTAAAAATAAGATATGTGCAGTAGTGAAGGCGCTTCAGGTCCTCTACTCTTCTTTCTGGGACGCCTTAGTCCTGCCAGGTATTCAGGAGAGTGTTAAATTTCCCTGCGATACACTGTTCTCTATGTTGTAAACCACAGTCCTGATTTTAAGGCAGGCCATATTTGTTTCCCAGACTGCCTTTATTTGTGTTTACAGAAGAGTCAGTTTGTGGATCAGCTCCTGGGTGGCAGTGTTTCTGGATTGACCTCCAAGGCTATAAGTCCTCTCTATCCAGCATTTAGGGTTTATTTTCCCTATCGCACTTAAAACTGGTTTGGGAGAGTCGACTGCCCTAGAGCCTGTTCTTTAATGGTTACTCCCGCTCCGTTCCCAGGTTCCACAAAAACAACTTTCCCCTGCAGTCTCTGCCAGTGACCCCAACTGGGCAATCCCATGCACTGGGTTTAATAATCAAACGCAAAGATTTAAGGGGAAGAGAGAAAACAAGAGCCTGAGAAGTTGCGTGAATTTGAAACCCTCCACCTTCCAGCTCTGTGCTCTGTCTCTTCCTTGCGTCCCCTCTCCCCTGGCACTAAGCAGCCAGCACACTGGCAAAATCCAAGGCTGCTTTTTTGCATCCAGTCCAGCTATGGGCTTATTTTTAGCATTCCCTTCCGCTAGCAGCCCCGCCGGAGCCCTTCCACACTCTCGGATCACACTGGCTCCAAGGGCCGCGGACTTTTTGGGGTGCAGATTTCACCCGTGCGCGTTCCTCTCTCCAACCTGAATTACAAACTGCACCGTTAGGCGAGATCTGACATTTCCGTGAGGAGAAGCAGGGCGCGTCTGAGTTCACATAGTCGCGCTTCTTGAGATCCGTTGTTTCCGGGTTAGTAGCCGATCTCTGGATGCCGGGTCTTTGGATGTATACACTTCCAATAAATAACAGCCACTCAAGATGGCACATTCTCCGCGGCTGAGCCAGCGCTCCGGGAGAGATTTCAGCGCCAGTCTCCAACTGTCCCCTTTCTCTGGGAGTCCTCTGTCTTCCCGGCTGCAAACTGTCTCCCAGCTGAATATCTTCTGCGTATTCGGTCTGTATGTTACCCATTTCAGCTGCTCACCCTTATCTGCTCCTGGACAAGGCACGGGACACGTCCGTCTATACCTCCGCCATTTTCTTCCCCTAGGCTAAATTTTTAAAAAATATGTCTCCATTGATTTTTTTTTTTTTTTTTTAGAAAGAGACGTAGGCGCAGGAAATATAGAAAGACATCAGTGGCTGCCTCCTGCACGCTTCCTACTGGCGATCCAGCCTCTGGGAATTGAACCAGAGACCCCTTGGTTTGTGGATCAACAATCAATGACTGAGCCACCCAGCCAGGCCATTCAGGCTGCTTTTCAAGGAGCTATAAAAGCACAGGAAGACTTAATTGGGGAAATACGGCTGGTGTGAATGCTATTAAAGACACAGTTGGGCTCAGTCTTGGACTCAATGCTTGTGTCCCTCTTACCCCCTCCCCCCATTCACCTTGAAGCCCTAACCCCCAATGTGACGGTGTTTGGAGCTGGGCTCTGGGAGGTCATTAGGCTCAGGGGAGGTCATGAGGTGGTGGCGAGGGTGTGGGGTGGGGAAGATGGATTCTGTGCCCTTACAAGACAGACCAGAGCTCTCTCTCCTCCATGTGAGGACATAGCGAGAAGGTGGCCATTTGCAAGCCAGAAAGAGGCTCCACCAGGAACTGCATCTGCCAGCACCTTCGCCTTGAACTTGTCAGCTTCCAGGACGGTGAGAAATGAATGTCTGTGCTGCGCCCCCAGCCGGTGGTGTGTGGCCATGGCAGCCGAGCTCAGTGACTGGCTCTTCCCCAGCCGCCTGAGTGCGTCCTGCCATTCTCTGCTTTTCTCAGGTTTCCTCTTGGAGGGTGAGGACGGGTGAGGGGCAGGAGACACACCTGTGAGGGCAAGAGCAGGACCCATTGTCCTGCCAGGGCCGGGGCTCAGCGTCTGGAATTGTGTTGAGGATTCTCGGCCATGAATGTGACGCAGCCCCAGTGGCCGAGGCTCCTTTCCTCCTGCCACTCTCTCCTCCTCTTGGTTCTGGAATAATTAGTACCGTCATCTCCCCAGCGTCGCTGGTCCCCTGACTCCTCGCTCCACGGCTTTCCTTTCTGCATCAGCTCAGCAGCATCTCTCCTCAGTGCCTGCAGCTCCTGGGTTCCCTGTCCAAGTTCCCGAGAGAGAATCTGATTGGCTCAGCTTACCACATCCTAGCTCAGCCTCCTGATTGGCTGCTGTTGGGTCAGGTGAGCACACTGCGCCAATCAGTTCTGACTGATGGGGCCAGTCACATGGTTTACACCTGACCCTGGAGGCAGAGGCAGTTTCACTTGGAGGGGACTGTGGGTGAGTCAAACTCCATGGTTCGGCACCCCTGGTCCAGGGGCACCCAGGGGAGGGGGGGAGCTGGCACCACCCTTGGGTCCCTCCAGAGCTGCTGGGAGCCTGGGGCTGGTCCCAGGGGAGATTTCCTGCCTAGAATTAGAGCCCGGAGCTCACATCTCCCATTAGACCCGAGTCCCCGGATTCCCCGTCTCCCACGGCTATGGGGGAGCTTTAGACCCGGAAGCGAGAAGCCTTCTCCTGTCTCACCCGCTGGGTATTGGGCTCACAGAGCAGCTGTGCCCTCTGACCCAGAGGGAGCCTGGGAGCGAGGCCAGCATGGATCCTCCCGGACCCCGCATGGAGGCAGACATTCCACCTGGGGATCTGAGCAGGGCCCTCCTGGGCAGCAAGTACAAGTCCTTCTCCTCGTTCTTCAACCTTCTGAAGCCCGAGCTTCATCCCCGCCTGGTGTCTGTGCACCCAGGGGATCAGGGCCCCCAGCTTTCTCCTGCCGGGAAGGCACAGCCCAGGGGAGGGGACGCCCCAGGTCTCCAGTCAGAGTGTGAGGGGCTGTGCTGCCACCTGGAGAGCGGCCGTTCAGTGGGGCCACTGGTGGCAGAGGCCAGGGGGGAAGAGGAGAGCATGGGACCCGCCCCTTTAGAGACCAGGCCCAGGGCACACTAGGTACTAGCAGAGGGATACGCTGAGGAGGTTAATTTTTTAAAAAGACTTAATTTAATTTTTAGAGAAATTTTAGGTTTATAGAGACATTGAGAGGAAGGTACAGAGATTTCCCATATGCCCCACCCCCCACTCACCCAGAGCCTCCCCCATTATCAGCATCCCTGTCCAGAGCGTGTATTTTTGTTATAACGGAAGAACCTACATCAGCACATCATAACAACCCACAGACCTTAGTTTGCCCAAGATTCGCTCTGGGTGTGGTGCATTCTATGAATCTGGACACATTATAATGACACGTATCCATCCTTACACTGTCACACAGGAGTTTCCCTGCCCTCAAAGTGGAGGTGATTCATTTCAATATTTAACCAGGGGCAACTTGAGCCATGGCAAGTTGGGCCCGGGAAGATAATTTAATTCTATGTGGTCGTCACAGATGGGTGAGGAGTTGACCTTTGAGTTAGAAAAAGAAAAATAAGCCCCATGGCTCAGTGGTTGAGCGTTGATCTATGAACCAGGAGGTCACAGTTCGATTCCTCATCAGGGCATATGCCCAGGTTGCAGCTCAATCCCTGGTGTGGGATGTGCAGGAGGCAGCCGATCAATGATCCTCTCTCATCACTGATGTTTCTCTCTCTCCTTCTCCTTCCTCTCTGAAAAAAAATATGAAAGAAAAACAAAACTTCTAAAAAGGAGGGCTGGCTGAAGGAGGTAGGAGGCACTGGAAAGGTGCTGGGAGATGTTTATGCCTCATCAGGGGATTCAAGGACAGAGGGTGGGACTGCACGGGAAGTAACCGTGTGTTTCTTTTTGCACCATGAGAGTAAATGAGTGACGGCTGCTGAGCACAGTGGTCAGTCTACAGAGAACAAGGAGACAATCCATTGAGCACCTGCTACAGGCCGGACAGGGCCTGCGGTCCTCCACCCACCACCTTATCTGATCCTCATGATGCACCTTCGAGTGGATCACGGCCCCCGGCTCAGAGAGGAAGGGACTGAGGCTCTGAGAGTCCAAGCTTTCCCCAGGTCACACGGATAGAAAATGCTGGGTCCCCACCTGGTGCCCAGGTGCTTCCGTTCTGCTTTAGGCGCCACAGAAGCAGCGGAACCCCTCCCTGGAGGTTAGGTAGGTTCACGTATGAATTCCTCAGTCTGGTCACAATCAGTCCACCCTTCAGCCAGTGAGAGAGGGACAGTGAGAGACAGAACGACAGGTTTCCCGAGAGCTCAGGTAAGAGGACAGGACTGTGTGAGGTCTTCTCTACAGCGGCTTCTAACGTGGGGTTTTGTGCCCCTTCAGGCTGTCACTGGTGTTGGGATCGCTTCTTCATGACAGAACAGGCGAGAGCAGCCACAACTGCAGCTCCAAAGGTCACACTTGCTCCGGTCACGAACTTTTCTGCCTGAAAGTGAGCAGCCCAGGTTCAGAGTCCACAGCAAGTCCAGGCAGGTTCTCCCTCCCACCAAAGGGGCTGGAGGCCACACTCATGTTCCAACCCCCACCCCCCACCTGGGGGCCTGGCCTCTCAGAGATGCTGGCCTTGTCCCAACAACCCTTTCCCTGGGAAGCCGAAGGTGTGACCACTTGTTAGTGCTGGGCTTGTCCGGAGGTGTCCTGACAACTGGCAGGTTGGAGTGATGGGATCCTTCTGTGTGAGCCTCCAGGGTGGGGCCATTTGGTCCGTACGGGGGCTGGGTAGGGGAGGGGGCTTCCTGCCTGGGCTCCTGGGGCCAGAGCTCTGGGGTGAAAGTGGGAATGACTTTGTGGTCTAGTCTACCTCTGCAGAGGGAGGTGGTGGCAGGGATGAGGGAAGAGGATGGGAAACCATGGCCTCAGGAAACACTGTGCTCTGTGTACTGTTCCCAAGTACAGCCTGGAAACTTCTATGTCCAGCCTCACCTCAGCCCTGAACCCCAGACTCACACGTCCAACTGCTACTCAACAGGTCCACCTGGATGTCTAACTGGTCACCCAACACCCCACCTGAGCATCAAATCCTTAATTCCCCTCCCTAACCTCCTCCTCCCCTCATCTCCTCCATCCAGGCTGCCCATCACCCAATCACAGGGGCTGTGAGCCCTGGAGGTGCTGTGGTTCAGCAGAAAGAGCTGGGAGGACTGGGGATTGAATCCTGCTCCTGCCTCTTACTAGCTGTGTTTTGCTAAGAGAGGAAAGAGGAGAGCGGTAAGGATGTGCCCAGACCTTACAGAACATGTCCTCGAGCTCTTACATGGGCCACAGGCCTTGAGCATCCCTTGCCCGAGGGCTCTCTGGGGCCTAGGAGACCTGTCATGGTCCCGGGTTGGACCAGACTTTCCCTGAGAGCTCACAGGGCATCAGGAGCTGCCTTTAGGGTGGGTCTTAGAGGCAAAGGATCCTAAAGGGATAGAGGTGGCCAGAACCCCAGAGGTCCTCCAACATCCCTCCTTCTGCACATGGGGAAACTGAGGCCAGAGAGGAAGTGACCTGTTCAAAGACCCCAAGTGGATTAAAAGCAGATGTGAGATTTGTGCTCAAACATCCTGACTCCCAGCCAACAAGACTCTGAGAGCTCCCTTCTGATTTATTGAGGGTAATTGTTGCCTCTACCTTGTCACCCCAAACCCAAGCAGACCTCCAGAAGGGAGAGGGAGCCCCCCAGAGAGAGCCTTACCTGCGGGCTGCGGGCCTTGCCGTATCTCAGATCGGTGACAAAGTGCTCACAGTTCCTGCTCAGAACACTGTAGGCCAACTCCTTACCGACCATCTCCTCTGCAGAACTGATAATCTTGTTCACGGGCAGTGGTGAGTACTCGTGGTCCAGGTGGTTGTTGACCCGATAGCGGCAGCCCCCCACCACGTCACTCAGGAGCTCCCTTTTCACCATCCCTCTGCTGCTGAGCACGGAGAAGAGGCTGGAGGAGCCAGCCCCAGGGTACTCATCTGGAACCAGACACAAGAGTATCAGGAGCTCAGGGGAGGCCTGGGAGGGAGAGAGGATTCCAGGCAGGGAGGAAGCAGGAAAAGAATCCGCTATTGAGCTTTGGTGTCTGTCCCTTCACCAATGTGATTGGAGGTTTCAGTGATTTTGCTCTTTTCCTTAACGAGCTGTGAATGCTTTTCATGTTCATCAATGTTGTGATGGTCAGTGGCTGCCATTGTGTTCCATTGTATGAATGGACATCATCTAGTTGACCAAGTCCCTATTATGGGCTGGTCCATAGCTTAGCCATTGTAAACAACGGTAGTAAAATGTATTTGTTCATCTTTGCGCTTGTGTGTTTCAGAAAGAGATCAAAGTTGTTTTAGTCCCCACTGTGTTTCAGACACTCTGCTGTGCAAATTTCATATATTCCCTCACTTATTCTCCTTCTGAACGTCATGGTAAATTCTCTCATCTCCATTTGACAACCGATATCTGACCCTGAGGCATCATCAGCCTTTTCTGGCAGCTCTGGCCACACGGAGAGTCCACACAGCGCTTCCAGATGGTGGCGTCCAAATCCCATTGAGCCTGGAGCCCGGGTTTTGCTCTCTAAGAGGAGGGAACTAAAGAGCACGCGAACCAGCAGGCTCCTTTATGTGCTGAGTCTGAGGCTGAGGCTGCACTGAGCACCCGTCCTTGAGGAAACACCACCTGCACTCACACAGCAGGACCCGGTCCTCACACTCACACCCTCTGTTCCCAGCCTCCTAAGTGTCGTCTGCATTAGGTGGGTTTCGCTTACTATTTGCCATCCATTCTGACAGTTTTCCACTCTGTCAGTGTAGGTGACAGCGTATAGAACCTGGTCAGTGACAAGCAGATTCTTCTGATCGTGAGACGGTTTCTGTCCAGCGAGAACGCAAACGCTTGCTGTCCGAGGTGTGGGTGCCATTGCTCTGCAGGGCACCAGCCCCTGTGCTCCCAGTGCGCGGTCTCATCCCAGCACCTTTCTCTCATGGACGATACACAGTGTGGGGCCTGCCTGCTCCTCTGACTGGCTGTCATCCTGCTTCTGCTGTCCCTGCGTCCATCAAGGTTCCAGGTGCTCGTGTGCGTCTGTGTGAGACTCTCTGTGATGTGTGACCTGGGAGAGCTGCTCCGTGGAGGGTGTTCAGGAAACCCTCTCAGGACGCCCTGTTCTGTGACATCCTCTGAGCAACAGGACACAGCACTGAGAGGCAGTCCCTTCCTGAGAGCGGGACACCCAGAGACGCTGCTGGTTTAGGGAAATCTGTTTGCGCACCCAGCTAATGGGCCAGAGCTGGAGAGTGTCCAATGTGGCCCAGCCCGGCTTCCCTATGGCCCCCAGACCTCTTTCCCTGCTGAGTCAGGACCTGAGGGACCACTGAGATGCCCCCAAGAGACACGGATGTACAGTGAGCACAAGCCCTGCCCAGGGAGAACTCAGAGAGGGTTCCCAGGGTGGCATTTGGCTTTGAATTGTTCTCATTAGGCTAATAAATCTTTGGTAAATCGTACTTTCAACCCCCCTTACCTGGGGGAGCCAGGTGGATCACATAACCATCACCCACATAGAGGGCCCAGTGCGAGTAGCCAATTCGGTAAATCTCAATCAGGTCTCCAGGCTTGGGCTCTTCAGGAAACTGCGAAGAAACAGCCAGGAAGGTGAGACAGATTTCAGGGAGCTGCAGAGACCCGGGCTGGGAGCTGCAGCTGGGCCGGGGAGTCCACGCTGATGCCTGGTGAGCGTGTGGAGGGGACTCTGGCCCCCTGTGAGGCCCTCAGCCTCTGGCGCTGTTAGAGGTTGCCCTTGGGGAACTGGGAGCCTGGAATCTGGTTGCCCCGAGGGAGGGAAGCCTGGAAACATGTGCTTTGGGAGAGTCAAGAATTGTCCAGAGAGTGTGTGTAGTGCATGCGTGTCTGTGTGTATTGTGCACATGTATGTTTTATGTGCTGTGTGTACATGCACACACATGAGGATGCAGAGGAGCATATGTGGGTGTATTGTGCACATGTCTGGAGGGTATGCAAAGCCCCTTCCCGGAGGCTGGGCCCAGGCCCATCCCAGCCACGAGGGCAGCTGAGTCTGAGCTTCTGCCTCACACGCTGCCCGCAGGTGTCCACATGCCTGTGGCCCTGGCTGTGCATGGCCCACAGGCTCCTCCTCACACTCTGCCCTCCAGCCCGGTGCACCCGCCCTCGGAGATGCCGACCTGAGGGACAGGAACTGACAGCCTAGTAAGGGGACTGAGCTCTGAGGAGGCCCTGGTGTGGCTGCCCAGCATCCGGAGCTGGGTGTGGGGAGGGGGCAGACGGGGCTCACACACTCAAGCAGCAGGCTCTGCTGGCACGTTCCCCACCATGACTGCCACCCTCCCAAGCCCAGGGGAAGGAAGCAGCACCCACTTGCTCACCTGGGGAAACAGGATCAGAGGCAGAGGGACGTGCCCAGGGACACTCAGCTGGCAGTGGCCGCACGGGGTCTTCTCTGTCTTGTCTCCTCCTCATCCCCTTTCCTCCCTCCCTCCCTGCCTTGCTCACCTCTCTCTGCTCCTCAGTGTCCTGCCCAGGGCACCTCTGCTTCATGATTAGAGAATTTTTCAACTTTTCTGTGTCTCTGTGTCTGACCTCAGCGAATGAGAAACCTCCTGCAGCCCTCACCCCAGGCGGCCCAACCTGAGGCCAGGGCTCCGCTTCCCTTTGCCCCATTCCATGCCGGTGCCCAGCAGCCCACACGCACCCTGGACGCTTCTCCTGATTCACTTCCCCGTCCACCTCCCGCCCATGACTCGGTCCAGGGCACCCAGTTCTGGATTTTGTGACCCACAGTTTCCCACCAAGGTTCTTGCCTCCTGTCCCTTCACCTCCACATCCAGTCCCCCAGGACCCCCGGTGTCCTTCCCACATGTCCCATCTGTCCATGACCCTCCTCTGGCCTCAGGGCACAGGATGCCCCTGGGCAGCCACAGCCCCTCCTGACTCTTCCCTACCCTCCTCCCCCTCCCTGTCCTCAGCACCCCCCCACCCCCGCCCCACCCCCCGCTCCCCCGGGCTGGCTGAAGGCCTTGCCTTTCCCTCCCCACAGCTCCCTCTGGCCTCTGCTCCTCTGCACCCCAGCTTCTCTCTGCCCCCAGTCCCTGCCCCACGCCCACTCCTCCTCTCCTCCCCAGACAGACCCCTCCTCTGAGGAGCTGCCCTGAAGGCCCAGCCTGGCTCAGATGCCACGCTCAGGGTCCCCAGCCCCGGGACTGCCACCTCCCCCCATGTGATCATGCTCTGCTGTGGTCCCTGTGCCTGTCTCACCCCCTCTGGGCTTTGAGCTCCATCAGGGGGTCCTGTGTGCTCGGCCCCCCTCCCTGCAGCTCCTGGGTCCTGAGAGGGGCCTGGTTTGGAACAGGAGGGAAGGACCTGTGGGAGCAGGAGGGCTGGAGGGCCAGGGGGCCAGGGCTCAGGCCAGGCAGGCCCAGAGCTGGTGTCCTTCTGGGGGAGAACAAGGGCATTTCTCACTCTGAAGGGAAATGTTGGATTAAGGTGAGGCCTGGGCACTGTCCCAGGAGCAGGCAGTGAGCTGGGGCCTGGTCTGGGGGAGGCAGTGGTTCCCAGGAGCAGTGAAGTGGGTGGACTGAGCTCTGGAGGGTGCAGGCGCCTTCCCGGAATCGCCCCACTTCCTGTAAGAGCCCCGCCCAGCTGGCTGCTTTCCCTGCACACCAGGCGCTGGGCCTGCCCCTCCCAGGACCCTGTGTAAGTCTGGACACCAGGGCTAATGGGGGCGGCTGTCTGCGTCGGACGCTGAGAACCGAATGAGTGGCATCAGGCAGACTCCTGACTGGGATGGAAGGAGGAGCGAGAACAGAGGGGCTGAGGAGGCATGAACCCGAGCAGCAGCTGAGGCCCACAGGCCGGGACCCACTGCTCCCCAAGTCCCAGGTCCCCCATCAGCCCACACTCCAGCTCCTTCCCCAGCTCAGGCGGGCACAGCCCAGACACCGCACATCCTCCCCCATGGCCCCCGACCCCACACGGTGCCAGACCCAGAGCGGGGCTCCCTCTGCCCGAAGACCTCCCAGTCCTGCAGCAAAAGAGACTTAAACAACATACAGGTCTCCATGGAAGCCTTAGAGACAGCGCTGGAGTTACCAGCAGGAGCACAGCCCCAGGCCTTCATTTATACCAGGGAGCTGCCCTCCCCTGCAGAGCCGGTTCTAGAAAGTTCTGGGGACTTACCGAAGCCATTGTTCACCAGGGCAGGGTCTGCTTTCTGCTCCTAGGGCAACAGGTTTTATACCCGAGTGGACACTTTCGCTTTCACTTTACTTTTTTGTTCAGAAGGACTGACCACTAAAGGGTTAAAGGGACTCAGCGTTTTTCTAAGAGGACAGGCCCACGACTTCCCACCTCAAGGCCCGGCATGGCTGGGCCTGGGAGCCGCCTGGAAGCGGTGAGCATCGGAGGGAAGCCTTACCCCTGCCCTGCCCTGGACACGGGCTCCCACTGCAGGACGGGGCATGGGAGGCCCAGCTGTCAGCCCCAGGCCCGCGTGGGCCCTCATCTTATACCCGCCCCACGAGGACAGGAGCCACGGGCAGCCTTCGGGGGGGACCCACGGGAAGGCCTCAGCAGGCGGGAGCCTGGACCTCGGGGAGCCCAGGGCTCATGGGTCTCGGGGTGCATGTGGGCGGGAGAAGCAGAACTCCCCTGAGAGCGGCTTCCCCAGCCTGGCCGGCCGCTGTCCCTGGAACAGGAGGCGGAGGCAGGGCGCAGGCTCAGCCCAGCAGCTCCCGGGAACCAGGGCCCAGGCTTTTCCATCCTGTGGTCCTGCGTCTGCTGCGATGTG